CTGTGCTCCCACCCTGGTTAGTGGATAAAAATAGTGATAAGACTACAAATACATTTAATTTTTGCATTCAACACATTGGGGGTTTTGTTCACTAGAACTCTGTATTTCACCATTCTTCTTCAACTGTCACACAGCTATGTGAAGCTCAAGTGGGATTTTTCAATGACATGACTGAAACTGACCATAACTCTGAACTGCCTCAGATTCAAAAGATGTGCTTTATTTTGGTGAGAGGAAAAAGGAAAATTGAGATGCTCTGGGACAAACTTTGAAGATACCAGTATTTTCTTCACTTTGACTCCTTGCCTTCTATACCTCATGCAGAAGTTACAAACTGCCATAGGAATGCTGAACAAGACTCATTTTGGGAGCTGCATCAAAACAAGTTGATTTTGCATACAGAAGTCCCTTTTGTACAAATGGTATCCCAAAATACTTCTGTCATGTCTAGTTGAAGAGCTAACGAAGATAAAGGCAGGGAAGCAAAATAGTTTTTCGTTGACCTGAAATGCAGATTGCGAGAAAACAGAAATGTCATGCGGATGGCAGGAATCACAATAGTAGTCGGGTGGTTAGTAGGAAGATAGAAGAGGACAGTACTGAAATGGAAAGGGGATTTAAGAGAGAATGTCCGTGAGGCAGGTTAGCCAAAAAACCACAGTATTTGTGTTTTTAAAAGAAAAGAAAATGTAAACAGGATCCTGAAACATATGAATGGTGTGACAACACTTCTTTGTACATGAGATGACAAGCAGTGAACAGTGACAATGTGCAAATACTGAGAGCTGACTTGGAGCCAACAGAGTTGCAGCAGTCAAGGCAAAATGATAAAGGTGTGGATTAGAAGAAGATACAAATAGAACCATTGACACATCTGGATAAAGCTGCAGAGGAGGTCTCAGGTATACTTCAAGCTATAACAGGTAGAATATAAAGAAGGGCACAGAGTCAAAGATGTCACCAAGATAAGGCCAACAGCTCTGAGTTGAGGAGATGCAGAGGTGCCTAAGAAAGCTCTTTTTGTAAAAGAGAAACAATTCTATCAGAGGTATTTAGTTCTGGAAAGTTGAATCAATGCAACATATTTATTTGGTCACTGCAAGAAGTGAGGGTGAACAAAGTCATTAAAGACATACAGTTGAATATCAGCATAAAAACGGTAGCTAAGGTTAAAGATAATGATAAGCGATAGAAGATGATAAAGAGCAGAGGACAGAACACAATTCTGTGTCCAAAGAGGAACAACTACCCCCATACATGAAGAAAATACAAAAAACGAGCTTACCAGAGGCTAATAGTTAATTATATGCTATGTTCTGATCAAGTCATTATTTGCACTGAATCACTCTTTGAACAGTCCATGGAATTACCTTTGGATTCAGTCCTCTGGTCTCCTAGTTCCTTCTTGGCTGTTTTTGTTTTGAGTCTCTCTTTGTCCCAAGCAGCTAAGGCTTGTTTCTCTATCCGACGTATCTCTGCTTCTTCTGCATCTAGACGGCGCTTCCACTCCAGCAGTTCTTCAGCATGTTGTCGCCGCTGCATCAGCTTCTGTTCTCGCTTAGTCAAGAACCTGATAAACATATCAGAAAACAATGGGAAAACAGTCTACCACAGCCAAAAAACCCAATGGCACAATGCTCTTATCATGAAATATAGGCTTGTATAAATAAAAGTTGTTTTCTAGGACGTCAATGTTATGCAACATGCGTAGCTTTCCAGTAAATAATTTTTTAAAAAGCTATATAATAAAAGGAGGCAAGTAACTCATTATTACTACTCTGTAGGACTTAATGCTGTTCCCTGACAAATTATGTAGAACAGCACAGAAAAAAAATCAGAAGCCCTTGGACAGAGAACATATCTTCCAATTCACACTTTCTATACATTTCCTTTCTAGACTTTAATGTAAAAACTATGATGGCAAATTCCTAATGGACCCAAAGGCCCACCATTTTGGATGTTTAAATGCTTGTCCCCTCCAAGAGGTTCAAGCTTGACACTGTATCGGGCCCACTGAGCAGAAAGTCAACAAAGAGACAAAGTTCTGGTCACTTAGGATAACTCTGAGGCTATGATACAGTGTAAGTTTTGAGGATTTTAAGTAGTTATACACAGAAGCGTGAATCACTAGTAATTAATTTGAATAGATTGTCTGTAGTGGTCCCCACTCCTGGGCATGCAAAAAGGCTGTTGACATTAAGTCAGAATCCTCTAGAAAACAGTGACTATTTGGATCATGAGCATTTTTTTTTCATGGATCCCAACAGTCTCCCAACTGTCCTCGGTGGTATAGAAGATAATGCAACCCTAAATGTCAAGTTCCTTCAAAATCCACAAGCAGCCATAAGAAGAGAGCATATGGTTCCATACTGACAATCCACTTGAAGAATGATAGGTACAGATAAGCAACACTTAATTCTCCTTTTCATATTGTCTGCATGAATCCCTGCTCTTGGAAATGGTGTCTTACATTCCTTCTTCCTTCTGAGATAACTACACGGAAGCTCACAAATAAGAATTAGATTTTCTGAAATATGAAGATATATTTACAGGAGCCATCAGACATCCAGAGTGTGCCCCTGCTTCTCTTTTCCTGCACTGAGAAAAGGCAGTTGAAGGAAGATGCAACTATATCTTGGGCTCTGTGAAATACTGACCACCTTTGAAGGGAATGTATTCCTCTTCCATACTCAGTATCGTTTTATTCTTTGGAACATGTTTCTAATTCACATATAAACTACTCTGAATCTCTGATACTCTGCGTGGAGATGTGAATGGAATAATGAAACACACAAAGACTAAAGCAGTATAGAGAAACTTAGTTTAATAGTTCAAAGGGATGGGAAATGAGGGGTTTTAAAATTAAATTTAGACCGCATGTCAGCCATATTAACCTCTTTGGAGGTCTGCACATCTTCAGTACTTTGAAAATATTATGCTATAATATATATATATATATATATATATGATACGATTCATGTTGATCGCCTACATCTCCATCTGGCAGCAAATAACTTAATGTAGGGCCTATGTACATACCTTTACAGTCCCCCGTTCAAAACCCCTAGATAAGGCATCCTGAGGGAACTGTAACTGACAGTACTTGGATCACTATGGGATCCACATTTGTCATAGCCATTCTAGTTAGTCAAGCAGATCCCTGACCCAGACACTTTTACAGAGACCAACTAGATGACAATGATCTCTTCAATAACTACCTCTGTCTTGCTTCATTCAGCAGCCATGCTGATAGGTTTCAAATTCCCCGTCCTTTGTGGCTGACTGGATTCCAGAAGCACACGTCCAGATATCATAACAATAAAAAGTTAGTTTGATAAATGTGTGAGCAGTGAAAAACAGAGTCTCTTCTTTCAGTGGGATGCCAGAATATTTCCAGATCAGCATATATTTCCTGGACACTATAATTGGCTTAGATAATGGACTCCTACAAATGACTATACACAAGAAACCCACCGATAACCACAGTGACCACCACAGATTCAGCAACCATTCCAGACATACCAAATAATCTGTTATTTACAGCTAAGCACTCGGATATCACATAATTTACTCCAAAGAGAAAGTCCAGTATGCATACCTAAACACATTTAAAACAACCTTCACTATGTAAGGACACTTCATCAGAGAAACAAATGACACCATGGAAAGGGTTGCCCAAATACATTGAGAGAACCTGTTTCAATACAGGAAAGAGAATCCTATTGGTCGCACATTCCTAGTTGTTACTTACCACCCCCATACAGGTTTTCAAACAATTGCAACCCACATTTGATAGGGACCACATCCCAGAAGAAATCATTCCTGAACTCCCTCTTCTGGCCTTCAAACATTGTCCCAATGTCACCCAGCACATCATCAGAAACATACACCTCACAACCAATCAACAGCAACTCAAAGTAGCAGCAACTCAAAGTAGCACCAGGCCCTACACAAATAAGATGCAAAACCTTCAGACATATGCTATGATGATCAACTATCCCTTATAGTACACCTATCCACTGCTATGATGATCAAATACCCCTCATAGTACACCTTTCAAGATTCCTGAGTTCCTCATATGTTTATCACATGTGGTGTACCTTATCCAGTAAATCAAATGCCACATAAACAACTAAATGGGTGAAATGAGAAATCATTGCACTCTTGAATGAGCTGAGATAGAAAAATGATAGAAGATTAAAATATATCAGCCATGGGCCATCACTCCAAAGGTGATTTTTCAGTACCTGTCCTCAAAGGAAACCAGCACACCACCTTCAAAAGACAAGCATGGAAACTTAAATTCCTAGCTCTGCTAGATACCAAAAACAATGCACTTAATATGGACACTGATTTTATGACTCATTGCAAGAATTTATGGTAACTTTAGGAAGTTTCAGGAGTTACTGAGCAGAATGGCAGAGGAGCTATATATTTAAATCTGAGTAATTCATGGAACGTCATCTTGTTTACGGTCATTCAGCTCCAGCAGAAGATAGCAACCATCCCCTTATTCCTTCTGAGAACCTCTTGACTATCACCAACCTCTGTCCCACAGACATTTAACCCTGTTAGTAATCTCTGAACCCCAGCACATTCCTTGTGGCAGTTAAAAAGAAAACAAAGAGGCAATTCATTGCTAAGTCACTGCAATGACTACTAAATGAATCAAGCCACATAAGATGCATGCTTTGCCTCCTTTTGATCTTCAGGCACAACTAAGCTGCCTTCTTTTTTAACTATTTTGGAAGCCGATCCATTAATCAGAGAAGTCTGTTCCAAGACAAGAAACTGTACTGTTCCAATATCACTTGATGAATCCTCATTCTCTTCTGAGAGAAAAAGGGTTTTGACCTTCAATCTTAACTTCAATCTTCAATCTTGTGAAGTCCAAGACTATAACAGGGTTAAAAAAAAAAAGAGAGCTAGATAAATCCATGGAGTACAGATCCATCAATGGCTGTTAGCCAGGATGGGCAGGAATGGTGTCCCTTAATTTTTGTTTGTCAGAAGCTGGAAATGGGTGACAGGAGATGGATCATTTGATGATGATTACCTGCTCTATTCATTCTCTCTGGGGTACCTGGCATTGGCCACTACTGGAAGACAGGATACTGGGATAGCTGGACCTTTGGTCTGACCCAATATGTCCAGTCTTAGACATTCTTATGTTAATTTATAGTGGCAAGAGAGGAATGGGTAGAAACTGAAGTTCCTTTTACAACCCAGAGGGTTCAGTGTTCATACCACAAAAGAATATGCATACAACCTCAGTATCTTCTATATTCTAGAGTGTTCCAATGTAACGCCAGGTCTGTACATGCATCCTAACAGAGTAGGGATCTCTACAGAAAATAATCCAATGTAAACTGTAATATTTACTAGGTAAGAAGCTTTTTGGTATTTTTGGCAGTGAGGTGGAAGGAAGACAAAGGCATTCAGTCTACACAATTACTAGTTTCAAAGGCTAGCTGTGCTAATGCTTTATTTTTTAAACTTATCAGTTCCAAAAGGTTAATAGAAATCACTTAATAAGGAAAACTTATTTGTGCAGTTTAAAGGTTAAATGCGGTGCAATAACTAAATATCGGAGGGATAGCCATGTTAGTTTGTATCTGCAAAAATAATGCAGCCCTATGGCACCTTAAAAACTAACAGATTTATTTGGGCATAAAATTTCGTCAGCAAAAACCCATCTGATGAAGTGAGTCTTTGCCCATGAAAGCTTATGTCCAAATAAATCTGTTAGTCTTTAAGGTGTCACAGGACTCCTCATTGTACTAACTAAATAGAAGCTGAGATGTACAGATTTTAAGTCCAGAGCTGGATAAAGTTTCCAATTACTGCTCCATTGGAGTAGGTCAATAATAGGCAGTCCATTTTATGTTCTTACCATTCAGGAAATGATATTTGGAATAGCAGATTAATTTGGAAATGGTGAAGAAAATCTGTTCGAATTCTACTCTGATGAGGAGACTCCTGGCTGTTTAGGAATGAACAGAGCATGCTCTATCAAAGAGTCTACCACTGAAAAAGGTGCAGTTACCTGACCAATTGGTTGTAGATATACAGCTGGAATTTGGGATGGAGGTTGGGAAAACAGACACTGAGAGAGGCCCAGTGGTGAGACGTAAAGACAGAGAAGAAGTAGTGAACAGGAGAGCAGTGTCTACAAAATAAGGAGGAAGAGTTTAAAACCAAGATATCAAAAAGACAGAAAGATCAAGAAAAGAGAGCAGCTAATAAAGAATTTTAAGAATAAATTACCATTACACGTATTATGTCATCTCGTTTTAAACAGAAAAAACTGGATGTTATCACTTCAAAGGCAACAGAACATAACTACCTACACTTATATGCATAACATGTAAAAGTTTAATGGGTCAATTAAAAGCTGCTTTTCATATTGTGAGGTAGGTTAATTTCCCCCCTACATGTTGGTAGCAATTTTGTTGCTTTTTTACAAGCTTCCATTTGCAGTTCTGTCCACACACATAAATTCAGTGTATTTAGCACCTCCTGCTATTCCAGTCCTCAGTAGAGGACTTTATTGTTTTTTGATGTGGTCAATGGTACTAGTATGACACCCCCCCTTCCCCCCACACACAAAAAACAAAAACAAAAACACACCACCACTTTTTCATTACAGGTTGAACCTCTCTAGTTCAGCACCTTTGGGACCTGACCAGTGCCGAGCCAGAGAATTTGCCAAACCATAGGAGGTCAATATTGTCTAGTAGGGATGTTAGAGTGTAACCAACCATTTAACTGGTATGCTGATGCTTATAGGTTAATGGTGTCAGTTATACTCAGTCAGTTTCCTGGGAAGCAGCTTTGCTGCTTCAGGGCAATGAAGCTTCTTCCCTGGGAGGAGACTTCACTACTGCAGGAAAGCCGCCTCCCTGGGAGCCAGGCCAGCAGGGGCTGACTTTGCTCCCTGGGATGCTTCACTACGGGCTCTGAATATAAAGTTTAAATAAGCCTGAAGAGCCTGCAGCCAGTAACAGATGAGATTTTCAGCAGTTACAATTACCTATTTAACCAACTTTTAACATCCCTATTGTCTAGCAGCATTACCAACACTTCCACTGCTTACTGGGCTCTTAGAATACATTTAGAGGTAAAATAGAGCTAAATATCACACAACGCTCAGGGCATGTCTACACTTGGGAGTAACTCCCCTTATTTTGAAATAACAAAGCAAATGTCCACACTACCAAGCCTGTTATTTCAAAATAAGGGCTTGTTATTTCAAAATAATAACTTCTGCTTGTGAAGAGAAATAAGCTTATTTCAAAAATAGTTATTTTTGGAGTTATTTCTAAATAACCTGGTAAGTGTAGAGACAGCCTCAGAGCCAGGATTGGTAGCTGCAAACAAACTTTATGGGACCATAGGAAACTTGGTCACACCCATGTTAAATGGACAATCTAGCTACTTAAAATCATGAGACACCACAGATGTTGCTGGACCAGAGAGTGCCAAACTAGAGAGGCTCAACCTGTACCAGTTTCAAACATGAACCAGAATTTCTCCAAAGGTAATTGTCACTGATCTAATTAGTAGCACTGCCGGATACAAAAATAGTGAAATGATTGAGAAAAATAGCCCGAAATGTTCACAGGTACAAGTGTTTCTAGCTGGAATGCAAATGTTGCCATTTTTCATTCTCAGCAAAGCATTGTCTTGGTCTCACATTTTTCAGATTTACAAACTGCCTGTTTCACTTAAAAGTATGAAAGTGCAACAAAATCACATCCATATTACAAAATTCCTGAAGCCACTTGAATGATAATACTTAAAACGGAGTGTTGCCCCCAGAAGTTATTCAGAGGAAAAAGCCATGCTACAGGTAGCTCACTATTATAGTGCAAGGTAAGAAAACACATTAAGATAAAGCAAAAGATCAGGTTAGTTCCTCTATTTCCTATGGTGCATGGAAAATTATTGCTGAAGCTGCATATGCGAAGAACACAAGTGGGGAAAAGTGTTAATTCTCTTTGACAGAGCATGCTCCTGTTCACATGCAAATCACAGGGATTAAGACAGAACTCTTTTTCTCTTCCCCTCAAGCTGTCACAGAAGTGAGGGAAATGTAAGTTTCTCTCCTTTGCCATGGAGAGTACAGCAAGTCCAGCATTCCATTCCAGTCTGAAGTATAGCAGGCTTTTTAAGCCTTATTACTCCACAGTTTGCTTTTACTTTATTCTTATCATTCAGTTTCTTTCCTACACCTTATGTAACTGGACTGATCCAATATTAGTTCTCTTTCAAGGGATGGCTTCACTTTGCCACCCCCAAAAATTCTGACAATACTGACTTGCTGTACTGCTTCAAAAGTATTCTTCGCTACATCCTTGGAAGAACACTGCAGTCTGCAATGCTAGTTTTTATGAACAACATACAATTTCAAAGCCACATAGCAAAATATTAATTATGTAAAAATCCATTTGGCATAATCTGATGAAAGTAAAAGTTTCATTTCAGTTTAAAGGAAGTGCTGCTCTGCCTTCTTCACCCTGTTACAAATTTCTACCCAACGCACATACAACCCATAGCAAAAAAGTTATGAGAGAACCCTGGAACGATATATTAAACCACACAAAGGCACAATTGCCATTTCTTACTGCTCAATGCAGTGATAAAAGGATGACAACTTTTCTGGTCGATAGTCTTGAAATACTACTGGACTAGGGCAATTGCTTTGACTGGCAGTTAAAATATCATTAGGCTTTTCCTAACATCTTAAAGGGTGGAACAGACTGTGTGCCAAGGCTGAACATTTATAACAATTTTACAACATTGCAATGGAGTAGTTATCTGCTAGTAACTTATTCTTTCTTCAAAGGCGTCAATTAAAAAGTGTGTCTGTCACCTATGAAACGAGCTACTGTGTTACAAAGGTATGACAATGCAATTTCAAAATTCAAGAACTGTGAACCAATTCTGAATTACAGCATCTGCCACCACTGAAAATTTCATTCTCTGATCAATGTGTTTGATTTTTAACTATGATGACTCAAACACCTCTTTTTTCCTGAGGAGAAAGTAAGATCAGAAGGCAAGCACCTTTTTTGGAGAACTCTCACCCATTATTGCCCATAAGTAGAGTGGCCTGCCCTATTCCAAAAGGATTAATCAGTGATAGGGCATGCTTAAATCTCAACCCTTCTTGTATAAAGATGGCCTTGGTTCAGCGTGATTAACTCAGGAGGCACAGACCCTTAAGATTTTGTAGTCAGTGCCTCAGTTGTCCTGAATGCTGTTTCTTCTTTAAAGAGGAGAACTGAACTGAGTGCTCAGGGGCACCCAAAACCAATCAGTGGAGTCTGGGTCAGAAGACTTCCTGTATCTGATTTAGACCCAAGTAAATATTATGCCATAAGACTGACCCTCTGCCAAGTTTTTTCCTACTATATGGATCCCATTACTATCTGAACTTTCATTACCATAGTATCTTAGAATTTAACATTGGGAGGACTTATCCCCCTTCCCAGGTATTCCAAGTATCCAATTTGCTGATGATTTAAGGATATCTTGTCATTACAAGATATAATATTTGATTCATGACCTTTTCTCTGGACCCATTATCTTGGGATACTAGACACAAAAAGAGAAAAACTGCATAGAATAGACTAAATTTTTTATAATTACCTTAATTAGTAACATGTTTTAAAGCTATTTAAAGTAATTTTTTTGACTATTAATGGTGGTGACCATAAGGCCAAAAGAAAAGAGCAAAAGGCAGATAGGGCCATATACTTTTTATATGGTAACTTCAAAACAGTACTTGAATATACAAGAATTGTGGACATATTGAATCCTAATAGTTAATTTTTAAATGTTTGTGGGACTGTTTAAAAAAGAACAAGAAATGTCCACAGTGAATTGCTTCTGCAGATTTTCAATGAAGGAGAATTCCATATTTGTATTTTACAAATATCTCATCTGTTCAGATGACTTCATCAGAGCTTGTAGCCACACTCAAGCTCATCTTTCATATGCCCTTTAAGCTGCAATCTTTGATGGCCTAAAACATATCATATTTGAAAATGTGATACTTAACCAATGAAATACCACAAAAGGAATTAGTGGTTCTGCAACAAAGTATTTGTATTCTTTGACATATATGCTATACAGGCATTACACAAAGGGCAGGCCTCAAAGAAAAAATTATTAATCATCAAACAACGAATTTGCTCCTTCTTTACCTTGTAACCCAGGATAGCTACTACCAATCTTTAGGAAATAAGGGTTATTTCACTGTGCAGTTTATAATATCCGAAGTCCCTGAAGGAAGTTCTGGATTGGACAAAATCTCTTTATTCCTTGCACATAATCTAGTGTCCACCAATTAGATTGTATATCCTTTTTAAGCATGCATACTGTAAAAGCCATTTATTAAATAAAAATAGCAAACTGAAATTAAATAATCCCTGCTTTTAGACTCTGTACTGCCGCTGCCCGAGTTACGACCACCTCCACTTACGACCATTTGCACTTACGACCAAAGTGGTCGTAAATGCAGATCCGAAATATGAACGGCGATCTGCGCTTACAAACAGCGCAGTTGCCATGTAACTCTATGGGATCCAAGTTACAAACACTTCGAGTTACAGACCAAATTTTGGTCCATAACTTGTTCGTAACTTGGGGACCGGCTGTATTCTGTTCTCCCAGTAAGTGCCTGTTTATAGAAATGACCCATAAAACATTTCTTTGATAAAAAACTGGATGAGGCTAACAGGTTCAATTATAATGTCCAGATTTATACCTCATCTTCTGGGATGCAAGCAGCTACACTTTTATACATGCTTAATTCCATTCTCTTCACACATCTGACAAATGCCAAAAAGTTCAAGTGTGAACCATTATAGTGGAGCTGATGTGTTCTCAATTTCTCTCAGGATATGGCCCACATATTAACAGCAGGGTTAGCTCATGGATTGATTGCTTTTCCATCAGGATTATTCAGACCACTTTCCCCTTCCCATTCATGATAAACACCACTCTATTCCACCTACTGCAATTGCTTAAATTAAAAGTAATTTATCTTTAGATAAAACAGTTAAAAACAAGGAGAGTCAGGACCATCTAATCAGCCAGTCAGTGATTGCAAATCAGAATTTGAAGACAACTAGTCTATCAGAACCGAATTGTAGGAAACACGTTTCTAAGCTGTACTCCACTGAATTCAATTCAACATGAACTCATATGAATCAATGGCCTGGTCAATTAAACTGACATGCTGCTGTACTAAAAGGGAATTGCCTATACAGTGAAATCTACTGCTAATAAAGCAAAGCATTTACTTACATTCTGCTACTGGTTTTATTAACATAAAAAAACACGTTATAAAAATAGTTACTTTTCATCCATACGGCTGCGCATTTTCTTGAGCTTCTGCATGATGCTACTAGTCTCGCTACTGGAAATAGAGATCGGTGAAGGACTGCGGGTCTCTACATCAGTTGGAAGTGGGCTAGAAGCATTGCTCTGCTTAGTATCATCCTCACTGCGAACCTCCTGAAAGGAAAGCAAAACAAAATTAAGAAAAGTACCATGGGCTTGGAATGAAGAACAGAACTTTGTAATTACTGATCCACTTTCCTCCTTTCTTCAACTTAAAACACAAAATGTTGCCCTCTAGGATTGCCTTAATTAGTTTAATCCTTGGTTCCAAACAGTCTATCTAGAATTTATCCTGAGGTCAGTGAAACTCAAACCCCAATGGAATTTTAAGCAATCAAGAAAATAAATCCATAAGAAAACGCTAGTGAGAAAACTGCAGAGCCAAAAAGAAGGCAGGTAATGCTTTTTTACTTATCCTTTTCAAGTTTCTTTTTTACTTCATTAATTTACTACATATTTATCTCCAACCCAACACCAATACTATAGAAATCTGAGGCATTAGTTTCTATAGTAGATGCATGGTAGCTAATTTAATATACCAACATTTTTTAAAATTCAGCATAAATCTTTTTAGTGTTCTGCCTTTCTATAACTTAAGCTCTTCACTGATAGTTTCTTAAATACTGAGTCAGTCCTTTCCATATCAATATCCATTAGATTTTGAGAAGAGTTAGTATCCATAATGTAATCTTTCCTATCTTTCTACCTTGAGGAAGAAACATGAAATAATAAGGGTGTCAAGACCTCAAACCATACTACCTACACATTTTAAATACTGAGATTCCACCCCTCTCTCATGTCTTGTTCTCTTCCCTCTATGGGTAGGATGTAGTCTGTAGACTCTCAATTCTACATTTTATCTTTCTCAGTCTCTAACAAGCAATTATTTAACTGGATAATTACATGGGATTCTTTCTTTCCTAGATGTCCATGTTTCCTTTTTGTTTTCTTCTACTCACAGAGAATGCACTCTTGTGTATGGTCTGGTAAGTTCAAGAATCTTGCTGTTGCAATAGTCAAAAATTCTGTACTATAACGAGTATGTTCATTTTCCAAATAGGTCTTTCATCCAGGAAGCATATCATCTGGTATTGCCAATGATACAGGGGGCTTCCCACTATTTGAGGGAAGACTGAATGAAATAATCTAAAAATCATCAGAACACCTTACTATAAATTTTTGGTATAATATGGAAAGAGTAAGGAAAACTGGTTTTATTAGTCAAGTGACTTTGGGTACCTCTTTTTCAAGGCCCAAATTGATACTCCATAAAACAGACTAATTTTCAAAAGGGCAAAAGCTCAGCATTGTCTGAAAACCAGACGCTTTTAAAGTGTCTCAAGCTGACATCTGTAAGTCAAGATACCTAAAATCATTAGTAACTTTTGAAACTCTTGACAATTAACATCACTTGTGATCCAGTTAAAAATAAAGGTCTTTTGAAAGTCATTGCCATATGGTTATGTTTTCCTTCCACAATAATTTAAACAGATCAGACAGACAAAACTGCTCACAAACACAATGGATGAGGGAAGGTTTAGGATGAGGAGTAAGTTTGTAAGCGATATGTTCAACATGATAACTTTTCATTACTATACAGCTGAAGTAAATTACCAACAACAGAGGCTGGTACTAAGTAGCAAGATACAGCTTCTGTAATGTCACTTACCAGCTTGTTTTCCCCTGCAGACTTCAGTTTTTCCTGAAGTTTCATAGTAGTCTGGCGAATTCGTTCTATCTCCTCCTGTTGCTTAAGTATCAGTTGTCTCTCCTTCCGAGCTGCCTTATTGGCCTCTTGCAAACGCTTAATTTCAGCCTTTAAAGGTAAGGAAGATGCAGCAAGAACTATAGTGACAGACAGTTGTATAGAACGTATACTGAGGCTATCCTAATAGTGCCAGCAGCATTATTCTATTTTGATAATTTTGTTCAGCTATTCTCAGAGCAAGGAGAGCTGATCGATAAATCACTATCCTACCACTAATAACTGTCCTGATATAAACAGCTCAACTTGTTTAAGCTAGATACTATTATAATACAAACAACAAAAACAATAGCGAGAACCACAATAAGTTTAGTATCCAAGAACCTGGTTCAGTAGTTGATGTTCTTAAGAATCTATAGACTGTCAGAGCTGACCAGTGACTATACAATGGATTCAACTGGATTTTTATTATAGGGCAGCATTTACCTTCTCCTGCTGCAGCCTCAGTAGCAGACCACGCTGTCTCTTTCGGATGGGTGGCATCTTGTCATCCTCTCCTTTGTCTCGTAAATGTCTGCAAGGAGATTGGGGGGGGGGGGGGGGAGAAAAAGTAAATAAATAGCCTTAATTTCTCACTTCCAAATATGGTGATACTTTTTGTGGCAGGGTGTTGCCCTGCACTGGCCCTTTAAGGGGCTGGAAGACCTGGAGTCAGGGGGAAGCCCAGCTGAGGGCAATTAAGGAGGGCCCAGCTGGAGCTTATAAGAGCAGCTCCTGGGAGGAAGAGAGGGTTCTGCCTGTCTGCCACCACAAGGCCTCAGGCTTTGGGCCCAGGGAACCCAAACTACCCATCATGAGGCCCAGTGCTGCATGGAGGCAGTCATGAAGGGCGGGGGCTCGCACAGAGGCAGCCCTAAAAGGCCAGGCTGCAGGGAGGCAGCCGTGGCTCGCACAGAGGCAGCTGTGGTAGGCTGGGGGCACTCAGGGAAGCCTTAGGCCAGAAGACACAAAGGCAGAGGTGCAGAAGGGAACCGGGCAGACCGAGGAACTGGGTGTTCCAGGAAGGAGCTGAGTGCTCCCAGGAAGAGCTAGTGGTCCCTGGGAGTAGGACGGACCCTGGGAGTACCAGAAGAACAGTGACTCCCCCACAGAAGGGGGCATGGACGAACAGTGGAGTGGTCACTGCCAGAGGGCAGTGACCTGAAGAGAACACCTCACTCAAAGGGGGCGCATCAGCATCGGAGCGGCGGGTGACTTCCCCACAAGCCACCCCGAGGGAGTCAATCCAGGCAAAAAAGTGAGAAGCCGTGCGAAAAGTGAGTGAACCCGCTACATTTTATACTTGGCAATCTTACATCTCCAAAATAGAGTAGCACCATTTTGCATGTCAAAACTCCATCATGAATATTCTTGTCTGTGAAATATCCTATATTCTTTATGGTTTATACATAAATAGTTTTGCTACTCAGTTTGGGTCTGAGATATAATTGTATAGCAAAGGCATAAAAAGTTAAAACAGAGTCAATATAATGATGCCAGACATTGCCTCACATGCACAGGGGCCAGATACTCATAGCATACCCACTTGAAAGAGAAAAAGAAATGGGAAAATGCTTTAGGTCACTAGCAGTTCCCTCCTGACACATGAAATCCTAGAGTAAAGAAACAGTGACAGTTGTTTACTACAACACAGGCCTTTGCTGGTTGGTGAATACAGGGATTTTAGAAAAGGAGGAGGAGGAGATAAGTGTCCTTAATACCACAGTTACTATTGAGACAGTATGCATAATTAAGGTCTGAATATATTGCATGCGACTGTTCCAAAAAATTGAAATTGTTTCCTCTTGAGTTGAAAAGTGTTCTCATGTAGGACGTTAAAAGTTGCTTTGCAAACGTACAAGGGAATAGTCATGTCCCTAATGCACCCTCCCATTACCAACCTTAACTCAGGGAACAATACTTAAACAGGAGCAAATAAGAAAATCATCATCTCTCACTGTTTGCTGCATAGGCAAGCTTGTCTTTTTTGAACAGTACTGAATTTAAATTGGAGAACATATGTGCCTATTGCATCATTTTTACATGTATAAGATGATTTTAGAGGAGCAGTTTACAAAAGAACATTTAATTGAATTTAAAAAACAGAACATGAAGTCATTAAAAATGCCCAGGTTTGATCACAAATGCAGGAATCATCAGTGATACTACATATTCAGAGTTCTCTTACTTCTTCTGGTGTTCCAGCCAGGCTAACTCAGCCTTAGTTTTTTCTTTCAATGCCTTCTCACGGAGCCGGAGCAGTGAAGACTGATGAGCTGCTCGCATTTCCTCTTCCTTCATATACTGCCGCACCATCTCCATGGTGAATTTAGAGAAACTATCCTGCCCCTCAGAGAATGGCATACTTAGCTCCTGGTGAGGCAAGATAAATTCCAGTTAATCCCCACAAAAAGGACCTCAAGTAATATTTCATCAGACCCAAATTATCTCAGTGAAAGAGGATGAGGGCCAGCATTCTGCATATACAATACCAGTACCCAACCACACGTGGAGATTGAAACTCATACTAAAAGATATTTGAAGAGATGGTATGAAAGTAGAAGGGGTGGAGGTATGGAGAACCTTAGTTGTTAATGGTGTACTTTTTTTTGTTTTTTTTCATTTTACTGGGACACAGAGCTAACATACTGTTAGATAATCGGGTGGTGGTGGTCAGGGACTCCCTCCTAAGAGGGACTGAGTCATCCATCTGCCGTCCCGATGTGCAATCTCGAGAAGTGTGCTGCTTACCAGGAGCTCGCATTCAGGATGTGACTGAAAGTCTTCCGAAAGTGATTAAACCTTCAGATTGCTACCCCTTCCTGCATCTCCATGTAGGAACTAATAATATGGCCAAGAATGACCTTGAGCGGGTCACAGCAGGTTACGTAGCGCTGGGAAGAAGGATCAAGGAATTTGAAGCGCAAGTGGCGTTCTCTTCCATCCTTCCAGTTGAAGGAAAAGGTCCGGGGTAGGGATTGTCAAACTGAGGAAGTAAAAGTGTGGTTGCGCAGGTGGTGTTGGAGAGAGGGCTTTGGTTTCTTCAACCATGGGACTCTGTTCCGGACACAAGGATTGTTAGGAAGAGATGGGATCCACCTAACCAAGAGAGGAAAGAGCATCTTCACGGGCAGGCTTGCAAACCTAGTGAAGAGGACTTTAAACTATGTTCGTTGGGGGACAGTGACCAAAGCCCTGAGGTAAGTGAGGAAGTTGGACACCGTGAAGAATCATAAGGAGGAACGAGCAACAAAAGAGGACCCCCTGATTTGGATGGAGAAGGTAGGGCAATCAACTGGTTATCTAAGATGTGATTTGCTTAATTTTACAATAAAGATTTTTGTTTAAATGATAACTTGGGGAGACTGTGAGATAGTTGTATAATTATTAGAAAAGTATATATTAAGTGCTTATTCACAAAGCATTCCTTGAAACAATTGACTAATATAAAATATAAAACATTTAGGTTGCAACTGAATATTCAAAAGTTTGAAAATGCCTGATTTACAGTTGCCCATGCAACCTTAATTCTGTCCCCTGGGAATTATGTCCCTTCTGTACACTGCATGAGGTAGCTGACCTGTGGGAAAAATGCGATCATGTAATTAAACATATAATTCATACATACAAGGGGTTGTGCTGATAACCATAATTCTGACATTTTGTCATTTTTAAGTGCTTGGCTCGAAAGCTAAGTAACTTTTTAACAGTTTTATTATGTAATTTCCAAAGATTTTGTTTTTTAAAAAGAAAAATGGTAAACAAGCTATATTATATACAACTGTAATTCCATGCAAGAGACAAAGTTTCATTCTCTATGAGCTTTACATATGGCATGATTCACAATGTACTCTATACAATTATCCCTTGAGTGTTTTCAGGAAAAGAAACATCTTAAAGAGAGTTCATTTCCAAGTCACCGACAGATTGTGTATCTCACCTAGGAAAGAATCTCAAGTCCATTTATTCTCCATAACTAGTTGCCTGGTATTAGAGACTTACCTTGACAGATGACAGGGCTGTCTTTTCTGGGGAGATTTCCTCATCAGAATCATCCCGATGACCTCGTTTCTTCTCCATGTTAATCCTGCGATGGCTCTCAGAAGGTAACAAAGACCGGAAAGACTTTTCTTCTATCTCATCTTCTGTCATGGACTCATCAAATTTCAGGGAATATTCTGTTGCAATGGAAAATGAATCTGACAGAGGAATCAGAGAAAAAGTTTATTTACAAAGGAATCTTCATTATGTAAATAAGATTTTGAAATGGGTCTAACATCAGCAAAGGTATAAAGTGCTGTGTGGAAACTAAGACCGAATACAGTAAAACTCTGATGGTCCGGCATCTGACAGTCCAGCACTCCTGATGGTCCGGCACCATCAGGAACCCGGAAGTGCTCCGGGCAGCCGGACCATTGGAGCTGCTCTGCCCCCAGCTTCCCCTATTCAGCCCTTGCTAAAACTGACCAGTGGCTGAATTGGGGAAGCCGGAGGCAGAGCAGCTGGGGCGCTGCAGGGTAGGGCCCCTAGCGCTGCCCCTCAGGGCTGCGGGACCAACCGGGCAGCACCCCAGGTGTCCCTGATTCAGCCGCTGCTGAAACTGACCAGTGGCTGACTCCAGGAAGCCCGAGGCAGAGCTGCTCTGCCCCGGGCTTGCTGGAATTAGGCGCTGATCAGTATCAGCAGCGTCTGACTTGGGGACACCTGGGGCAGAGCAGCTGGGGTGCTGCTGGGTTGGTCCTGTAGCGCCGAGGAACGGCACGGCACGGGGTTCGCACTAGCCGGCTTTTAAAAATGGCGGCACCGGCTTTATGCTAATGAAGCCCGGGAAATTCAAATCCCGGGCTTCATTAGCAATGAGGGTATGTCTACACTACCCCCCTAGTTCGAACTAGGGGGGTAGTGTAGACATACCCTCAGAGACTATAATGAAAGAATATCAAAATTTTATATTAACATTATTGTTAATCTAATGAAGGCTTCAGCCTAAAGGTATCCAGTGTCTCTTCTTTTTTAACTAATGGTAGCTGGCATACTATAATATATGCTGAATAACAGTAAATTAACATCTGACAACAGTTACATTAACAGAACATAGAACAGCCTATGAAGTTCATTTAAACTGTTCTATAATTAGGGGGAAATTATTTCTTCTTCTCTTTGTCATCCTCTATTATCTCTTCACAGACTACTCCTTAATCCTGAGCAATTTTTACCATCCACGTGTGGAATTAATTTTGCTGAGTACCCCAATATTGAGATAATCTGCAGATGTATGCCGTCAATAGAAACAAAAAGCCTAGATTTAAAAAATATTTTTTAAAAGTTATTATAGAAATAATTACTCCAGTGAGGACAGGTTAGGCATTTTAGAATTTACTTCTCAGGGTTAAATTTAAGCACAAGAGAGAAATAAATTACCAGTCAAACTAAAATAACAGCACTTTAAAGGAATAAAGTTACTGAACATATATGTACACTGCAGAACATACCAAAAAGTAACAATAAACGTGTGCGTGTGCGTGCGTGCATGCGCACGCGCGTGCAAACACATATGTTCTGCTGGGGAAATCTGGGAGACACTGAACTGTCTCTTGAAGGCATTTACTAACCAGAAAGTTGGTTGCTAGCACTATAGAGGCTGCCAGCAGCAATCCTGAATCTCAGCCCTATCCTCCTCCCTGCTCTGAAGTGATGGAGTACACAGACAGGGTAAAGGTGGGGGGAGGGGAAGAGACAGAGTGCACACATGCCTATGTGTGCTGGCTGCTGGGGAAGTCTCCGAAAGACTGTGTACTGTTTCTCTAAGGTACTCTCTCACTGACCCAGAAGGCTCTTCCAGACTTCAAACCACAGCTGCTCTCCTGCTCCTGAGTCCTGTCTCCCCACCCCTTTCTGTGGAGATGGGGCACATAGGTAAGAGAAAGTAGTGGGAGGGGGACACCCTGACATCAGCACACACACTCCCACTCTGCACAGCCAGCAGGAGGGTCCCGAGAGCAGCTGGTCAGAGATGCCAAGGCAGAGGGCAGGACCAACGTAGCTGCAAAACGCAGCAGGTGGTGGGGGTGAGGAGGAACCTGAACACACACTAGTGCACATGCTAATCAGTGCGCAGCACTTGATTCATTCCAGGGCAGATGAGCAGCTTTCAGCGAACACAGGTCCAGAGGCTCATCTTTCTTCACTTATGTTCCCCCTGCATTCATCTCAGAGACTTTAATACTGAGGCACTATCTAGTTTCACCAAAGATCGAGAATACATCTAACCTTTCTCATCTGGTAGTGATGGAATACTATCGCTCCGCAAGGAATGATCCACACCAGTACGAGCCTGCTCTTCTATGGAGCTGCTTGTCTTGTCACGTCGGAAAGGCTTCTTCTCATTCTCCTTGGAAGAAGGGACTGAAGGACTCTCCTGCCGGCTGCTACTGCTACTATTTAACAATAAACAAGAGAATAAACATTTTTTTGAAGGAGACAATACTTTAGAAGTGCCTTTCTCTATCAGAACCAAGACACAGAAAATACTGCACAGGTATTTGACAATTCTGCTTGTTCACACCTTCAACAATTTATTTAAAAAAAAAAAAACAGTTTGAAGTCTCATCTTATTTCTTACTGAGTAAAAGATCTAGCTAAAAAAATTTAGATTAAACAAAAACATGGTTTGGCTACTGCAAAATTCCAGGCCTTGTCAAACAGGAAATCCATATGGAAAGTTCTTATTTGTGGTCTGACACACAAAAAAACAGCCAGGAAACAAACAAGCCTGTAAACGTGCACATCTTTTACCCTGCAATGGGTATTGACGATAAATCATGCTATTCATTCCTGTTTGCTTTCACAAGTCTTTCAAGTTTTGGGAGATTGTTTTGTTTTAGCTTTTTAAAATAGTAATTGTAATTTGTTATTACTAATTATTATTATTATTATTATTAGGGAGGGAAACAAACTGATTAAGACAGAAAACCAAAAGTAGAAATAAATGGTCAATTTTCCTCTGGATAAAAGGTTATTGGTGAGGTGCCAAAGATGTATACTAGGACAGGGGTGGGGAACCTAAGGCCCGGGCCTGGAGGCTAGATTTGGTCCCCGGTTTGCCTCAATCCGGCCCCTAAGGCTCCAGCCACTCCCCCACTCATCGCCACAAGGCAGGGCAGGAGCACACAAAATCTACTAGGCTGGGGCACGCAAGGGGAATGTGGGGAGTGCCTTTCTCCTTCCCAGTCATGGGCCATGTCTGCGGGGTTTTTTTTTTTTTTCTCCTTCTCATTTACATGTGACCCCCCAAAAGATTTTTCTGTGGGTCAGCGGCCCCCCACCCAAAAAAGGTTACTCACCCCTGTACTAAGATCTGGAGAAGGGAGTGGGTAATGAGGTGGTAAAATTTGCAGAAGATATAAAGTTATATAGGTGAGTCAGGACCAGAGACAACTATGGGAAACTTCAGAGTGACCTAACCAAACTATAACAGTTTGTTCAATGTAATGAAATATGAAACAGTGTTGACAAATTCAAGATAATGAATATTGGATGGAATGACAGAAAGTTCTCATGCACCTTAATGAGTTCTAAATTAATTACTAGGTCCCAGGAAACACAGGCAACTGGACAGCTCAATGAAGACTTCTGCTCAGTCTAGAGAAATTATCAAATAAGAACAAACCAAATGGCAGGCTATATGAAGAATGGAACAGAGAATGCAATATATATTGTAAAGCAATCACATAGCTCAATGATATGCCCTCAGCAGGGATACCATTTACTGTTCTAGTTACCACAACTAATAACAAAATACATCGAATCAGAGCTGCTTCTGAGAGAGGTAACAAAAGAATCATTAGGGACATGGAAAAAAGCTCATAGAGAAGCTGAGAAGAGTAGTACTGCTTGCCTTTGACAGGACACAAACAGGAACATGGCAGAAAGGGAACATGATAAAATATACAAAATAATTAATGATATAGAGAAGGCAGAAGAGGAGTTTCTGTTCTTATACTATGAGACAGGAATAACAAGAAGACATTCAATGAAATTAAACCAGGGCATATTTAAAACTAAGAAAACCATCACACCACAAGACTGTGGAATACACTGAGACAAATTTTCATTTGAGGCCCAAAGTTTGTTGGTGGGTGGGTGGAAGCGCGCGCGCGCGCACACACACACACACACACACACACAAAATTAGATTAAAGATTATTTATATAAATAACACTAATATCCAGAGTTGTAATAGCAAATATTTATAAAACAAACACATTTTGGAAGGGACAGAAACCTTCAAGCTCTGGGACAAAGTAATCTCCAACTACTGGGAATTAAGAAACTTACCTTGGGGGCAAATTAAAATTCCATTAGATACCAGTTTTCCAAAGTATTATTTATATATATTTGTACTGCTTACACTTTTAAAATAGAATTTATGGCACAATTTAATCTCTTCTCACCTCTGATCATGAATCTTAGATCTTGAAGATTCTGAATAACTATCAAATAACGGGGAGTATGTCTGCTTTGAATCACCTGTCTTCTCTTTACTTTGTGAAGGGGCGCCGGATTCATTTTTCCTGTCAAAGGAAAATGTTCTGGGATAAATTTGAGTTGTTTTGGAATAAAGAAAGGTTTATACACGTCTACTTCAATTTAACAGGCGAAATAAGGGTCTCTTGACTAAAGAGTATGGAGGACTTAAAGCAAGGGCAGCCTTGTTAAATCAGACCAAACTAAAACAGAATTAAAACCATCCAATGAGAAGAGTGAATTGTTTCACTTCTCATTTATGTACAGCCCTTTACAGAATAAATGATGTGTAAATCATGGGGAAAAAAAACCCTCTGTCTTTGCATTCTTACATTAATCTGAGTTCATTTTCTTAGTCTGTCTACTCTATCCACATAGAACTCCTTTATATAATGCTCTTCCATTAAAACTTCATACGGGTTTCCCTCAAAATGGTGGGAGAACTAGCATAAGACTTTACTCCTGTTGGAAAGCTGCAACTGTTTCACTGGGACTCATAGTAAAATTGCAGCATTCCCCACAACAACTGCTACTGCTTTTCTTAAAGTGCTACATTTGTGAGGGTTGTATTGGTTAAATACCTGTTTGTATCTGCTCGAGATCTGAGCTGTTTCATGAAGTCTGAATGATGCTGCCGCTGATGGTCAAACAGGGTGGTAATTGGAGCTGCAGGAGCACTGACAACATCTGAGTTCTGTGTTCGTGCCAACTCTGTCATCTGAATATAGGAATATACTTGAAACACAACTGCTTTCCCTATATAAAACGCTTAATTGTTGCAGGCATATACATGACATACATCACCATATAATCAATCAATAATTTACACCTAAAGATTAATCAATTTCAACTAAGTAAGAGGAGCAGCTTGCTCTGTATTAGTCTCTCACACACACATACAAAGTGGGAAAAGCCATGTGATAAACTGTATGGGTCATGCAACTGTGGCCAATTAACCTGAACTCTGCTCACTAAATGATCTCCACTTGGACAAACATCCCAGAACTCCAAACTGCCACAAACATAATTTTTTTCCTTTCACCAAAAAATTATACTTGTTTGAGGAGCAAGACTGACAATGCTTAGACTTGAACAAGTGACAGTTTTATCATCTAATACCATACAAGACATCAGGTCTAAAAATGGCATTATATAATCAGAAACCCAGGAATTTCCCCCTTTCTATGGTATAAGGAGCTTGCTTCTAATCAGCAGAAATATATCAAACATTATTTTTAGAAATTCAAGATTTACTAACTTTAAATTTACTAGTTTTAAATTTTCCTCATCAAACCTTTCATACAGAATCTCACCTCATGGATCTGGCGAGCTGCATCTGTAGTGAGCAGAGCAGCTTCCACCTGCTGGGCTGCAATTTTACATGTGGTCTCCTGTAGTGCTTCTGCTGCCTCTTGTCGTGACTGGACCAGATGCTGCAGAGATTCTGCATGGGCCTATAAAGACAAGACAGCAAGGTTATAATTACACTTGATGGGTAGTATTACTATTAGTTTTGTGTTTACAGTTTTAAAGAACAAAAAATCTGCTTGAAATTAAGAGTTGTCTTTAAAGTGTTTTGGTCAGTCAGACACTTCAAACTCCTTTACTCTTTCTAGACCCTCCATCAATTTCACATTAAGAATATTTCTGAGCCCAGGTTTACTGAAAAACAAAGCTCTGTCTTTTTCACACTCCATATTTTTTGGAACTAGACATTACCTGAGCTGCTTTCTGCCTCGCTTCCTCCAGTTGTCTTTGACTCTCTAAAGCCTCTTGCTCAGCCTTGAGTTTCAAAAGAGCCAAATCCCGTTCATGTCGCTGATGCTGTGCCTACATATTAAGAAATTTTAGTGTTAAATAAAGAATCTGCATTTCGATTCCACAACCTACCCCACTAATTGTAACAAAATAACAGTCAGAATGCTGCTCTATTTGCAGTTTGCTGGGCTAAAGTCAAACCTTCAATCTCTCTTCCGGCACCTCTATCTTGTTGGTGGGGGAAATTGACAATCCCTTATTCCCTGGGTACAAAATAAATCAGAATCTGGAAAGTCAGATTGTTCTATTTTGGGAAGTAGCTAATCTTGTTAAGAGGAGCAGATTTCAACCAAGATATACCCAGAATAAGACCAAGAACTCAAGCCTGAACAATCACTATGTTGTCTGAGGACTAAGTATCAAATCTAGTAAACACTTTCTAGGTTTATTCTGACGTGTAACGAATGGTAGGAACTCCTGACTCACCACTGGTGTTGATAAGAACAGGGAAAATGATGCAGGTAATTTTAAAATATAGTGGACATTTAGACTGCATCACCTCAACTGTGGATTGTTTCAATCAGCCGCAGAATTATTTCAATTACAGTGCTTTGGTTAATTTTTCTCACAAAGTACAGAACAAGAGGTTTCTTGCTTTTCTTAAAGCAAGAAAAAGAACTTTTCCAGTCACCTTTAAGATCTGAGCCAGTGAAACAGTCTCCTGCTGGGCAAGGGATATACCCCGCACTCGTTCTACATCGGAGAGTTGCCGTACAGATTCCTCAATGGCACTCAGGTAGTTGAGTTCTGCTGTCAAACGATGCTGGAGGCCAGCAGGAGAGAAGCGCATAGATCCTATAAGAGAATATTTACTATTTAGCAATTGTAGGACTTAGCACTAGTCTACACTTGATTGAATGTTTCTTAGGTGTGTCAAAGATCCACACCCAATGAACAATGCAATTAAGCCAGGGGTGTCCAAACTTTTTTCAAAGAGGGCCAGATTTGATGAAGTGAACATGCGTGAGGGCCGACCATTTTGCCTGACATTCTTTGAACCATTAAAATTAAACGCAAATTAACTATTTTATGCAAAGTTTATTGCAAACGGCATACTTTTCATTTCGTCACATGGATGACAAATCTAAACAGGTGTTAAATCACTCTGCCTTTCATATCTGAAGGCCAGATGAAAAAAAAAATCCAGGAAGCTGAAATATATGTCAGGAACATTGTAAAGTACATTACATATTATTGGTAATAAAGGTTGTCTGTCAACTTTTAAGTTCAAAAAATATGAACAGGAACATAACACCAAGTATACATGTTGTGTCCAAATATATTTATAACTGATTTAGACCAACTGACTTTAACTGAGATTTTACAATGTATTCATCTCAATACATATGGATTCGTTGGGGGCCATAAAAGATAGATATTGCCAAATTACCCGTGGGGCCGTATTAAACCGGAACACGGGCCGCAATTGGCCCGCGGGCTGGACTTTGGACATGCCTGAATTAAGCCAACCTAAGTCCCCGTGTCTCTGAGACCAGGTCTATCCTAGACCCAGGAGGTCAGCTTAAGGTACGCACCTCCAGCTACATAAATAATGTAGCTGGAGTCAACATATTTTAAACGAAGCTTAGAACCATCTTCACAGTGGGAGGCTGATGGGAGAAAATGTTCCTGTTGGCTTTCCTTACTCCTCGCAACTGCGAGGGGTACAGATGCCAACCGAGGGCGCATACGGTATTCAATTTAGCTGGTCTTTACTAGACCTGCTAAATTGAACGCCAGAAGAGTGATCTCGGGCACAGCAAGTGGAGACGTGGCCTTATTAAAGAGAAGATTTCTGCCTCAGAGAGGTGGATTACCTACGACAATGTGAGTAGCTATACTAAAGTCCTACAGGAGTGCAGCTGCCATGCTGTAGCTGTAGCAGTTCAAGTGTAGAGAAGCCCTTGGTCTACATCATAGAAACTACACATAAATACAAAGGGAAAAAAAAGAGGAAGTTTTATGGAATTTGTAGGGCTTGAATGGAGCCAGCTCACCAGCCACTGCTGCTGCTGCTCCTCCAGTCTTGCTAGTTCCCAGGCTTGAGTCAGAGATGGCTACACTGGGCTTGACCCCTGAAGCTGTATTCCCAGGAAAGCCTGCAGGAGACCTGTCCCTTTCCGCTGTATTTCCTAGAGAGTCAAACTGTAATAGTTTCTGGGAGCCTGGAGACGGAGGAGACGTTGGGCTCTTCTGGGACCTTCCCTTGTCTGAGAGACTGACAGAAAAACACAAACCAGAAGGTCAGTATTCTCCAATGCCCAACAATTTAAGTGCAAGGATGAAAGTTTACAAAGTAGTCATCTAGGTCCCCTGTTTGTTTATATTTGAACAGACTATATACAGGGAATGCTTGCCTGGTATTTGCAGGTGCCTATACAGTATTTAAGAAGCGACTCACTACAGGGATGTTGTACATGCATTCCACTTTGGGACATATTTTGATAACAGTGTTTTACAGTATCAAATATAGCTAATACATAAATATGTACTTACAGGCTCTAAAATTGATTTGTGTGTCTTTTTAGAAAGAGGTTTGAGACAAGAGTTTATTTTCAACTAGCAGATTTACCCGTGTTGCTTGGGTCTAACTCAATTTTTGGGGGGGAAGTGAGGGGAAAGAAATGAAACAATAATGTACATGTTTTATTTAAATGACTGTATTTTTCAAAAATTAAGGAAAAAAGTTCCTATTAATAAAAAAATTTACACGATTCAAACATTAAATAGAGCTTATTAAATATTTGCAGTTTTTCTGGTTTTTGCTAGAACTTCTCACTCTGAACGTAGCAATGTATAGTTGCTATGTCCAAAGCAATCTGCTCTCAAATCCACTCCTGCAATTCTGAAGGACTGACGCTGTGCTCTGTTATACTGGAAGCACGTTATACTGGAAATTGCAAATGCTTAAACTCAAACGGATAATCTGTTGATATCAATGGAATCCATGGTATAAAGACATCTTCCCTTTTGGCAATTCCAGTCAAAACGGCAGCTTCAGCGGTGTATGGCTTCAAAGATTTAATGAAAAATCTTATGCCATTACAAAGTCTTGGAGCATCTAAGTTTACTTTTTCAACACCAAGTTATCTTGTGGCATGCCACTAGGATTTAGTGAATTCAAAAATTCTGTGGGATATTGAACTGCTTCGTTGGTGTCCACAACTGTGTCAATTGATTTGCAGCACACAGTCTATCCAGGTTCACCTTGAATTTCAGATGGCAACAGCTCTTCATAGGTGGTCTGCCTACTTTTAGTTTCTTACAGACTATTCTTTATGAAGATGGAAAAAGAAAAGCTAGCTTCAGTGCCTTTTCAACAATTAAACTGAAAGATGCCTGTATTGGCCAAGGTGTTCTTTGTAGTTGTTTGGTATAGAAACAAAGATTCAAAGGGACAAAGTTAATTTAAAAATCACTTCTATTTTGTACCAGCTATTATTACAGTTAACGCCTCAGATGACCATAACTAAGAAACTCTAGAGGAAAAAAAAGGTGTCTAATTTTTCCATGTTTTAATTTTGTAAATTTGACAGCACAATCTAGAGTCTGCTTCAATGTTTTGTTCATCAGTTGCTCTTCCAGGCTCATACACTGGTACATGACCACCACTGATGTTTTGGCAAGTGTGAGGGAGAAGCGCGCGCGCGCACACACACACACACACAACTGAATTGTGTATTTTGTTTTCCCACTTCCCCATCTTTGAGGTGACCCTGGAGCATAAGTGTGAAAGTTTTATTGGCTTATGCCTCTCTGATCTTGTCATTATTCTCTTCTTACACTTGACGCTTGGAACTGCCTCTAACAAATTAATGATGCTAACAAGCTTTAAAGCAGACTACTGTAGGGCAGAAGGGGATAAATGAGAGTTCAGCACACAGCGCTGCTTTGAAATTGTAAAATGAGCTTTGGTAATAACATACCGGGTGGGAGAATACAATAATAATCAATTCGCCTAGGAAATAGTACTGAGAACATGGAAAAGAGGCAGCCAAGATCTATTCTAATGGGAACTTTCAATGAGTCTATTCTACTTTGCTTGTTGCTCCAGTTTGTAAAACTTCTCTTATTTGTTTAAAGACACCAGTCACATCCATGATTATTTTGATTGTTACCTATTCTCGGTGTCAGTAACTAGCATCATCCCTCTGTGGCCAAGCATGAGCATATTTCATGTTGTAGTTGGGTGTACCCTAAAAGCTGCCCTTAATATCAACAATGGGGCAGAAAACTCCCTCAAATATTTACAAGCATTAAAAGGTTTCCAGAACATTTTATTTAAAAAGGTACTCCATCAGTAAACTGATTCCTTCAAAGTACTGTACTCCAATTCAAAGAACTGAAGTTGACAGTTTCCCTCTGAGCATTAAACAAGACAAGCAAGACCTTAATGATCATTTTTATGCTGAAATGAAGTAGCTGTATTCATTATAAAAGCTGCTACGAATTTACAAATAATATTCAAGCTCTGTGTTCTCTCTTGAAATGATATTGCAGCTTCAATATTTTCTTTAACATTTATTAATTTAAAAAATAGTCAGAGATCATCTTTTATTTCAAGTACAGGTGTTTCACTTATAAATGTTGTGAATTATTACTAGTAAACTATCCAGAAAGATGGTCAAATTTTCAGGAGCCAGGCTATAATTTAAGATTTTTATACAAAGTTATTTAATGTAGTACAGAAATAGCAGATTAAGCTACACATCCTTTCTCCACCTCTACACTATGGTTGCACTTGTACTCCACACTTCATATTAAAAACAAACACCAAGCTCTAGTAATATGTGTACAATGTCTTATAAAGGCACACTTTACCTCAACAAAGAATGTCCAGACAACTCTTCCAATGTGCTATCAGTATCTGCATTCTGCTCATGCTCTCTATTAGAAATTTTGCTGCTAGGCAAAGACCTCTTTGCTTGTTGGAACCCATGGTCTCTCTCAGATAGCACTTTGTCATCTTTCACTGGAGAGTGGTGTGAGCTTTCATTGAAAGATTTTAGCTCTGAAAAATATAATGACAAAGTTAAAGCCAAAGTTCAGCTGTTATTACCTACAAAGAAACAACCGAGTGAATTTTTTTACTGATTTAAAAAGAACCTTGTCTAGCCTAAATAAATATGGAACTTTTTACTTTAGACCAGCTCCTTTTCTGAATCATATCTACAGGCTGTCCTCTCTATAAATCCAAGATACATTACAAAAAACTTGGACTTATAGTGCAACAACTTAAAGCAAGGAATTTTTCCCCCCACATCTGACTTCTATTTGCGCAATTCAAGAGCAGGGAATGGGAGGACTTATAATGCATCAGTTCTTACAAGCATCAGCAACTTTAATAATGAACGGTTGTATACCCAGGAGACTTACAGCAGGGATGCCCTGTACTTGCCATTTTTTAACAGTGCTGTCATTGGCACAATCCATTGCATTCTGTTCTGCCTCACATATCCTTCATCCAAATAGTCAGCTAAATCCCAACTGCGCACACAATTACTGAAAAAAAACAAAAACCCCACATCCCTCCCTCCCAAAAAACCCAAAACCCACAACTTTTTTTTCCTAGTAGTGATTAGAAAAATTCCCATCTTGACTTGTAAAAACAAAAAGGAGTCCTGTGGCACCTTACAGACTAAGGGATTTATTTGGGCATAAGCTTTCATGGGTAAAAACCATTTCAGCAGATACACTGAGTGGAAATCAGATGTAGGGATATATGTGTATATAGATCCATCATGTGCCAGCAATGACCCGTTGCCATATATATTGGCCAAACCAGACAGTCTCTGCACCAAAAGATAAAAGGACACAAATTAGACATTAAGGAAAAGCAACACACAAAACTCAGTAGAATACTTCAACCTCCCTGGATACTCAATAACAGATTTAAAAGTAGCCCTCCTTTTGCAAAAACTCTTCAATACCAGACTACAAAGAGAAACAGTAGAGCTACAATTCATTTTCAAATTTAACACAATGAAATCTGGATTGGGTAAGGACTCTGAATGGTGCTCTCACTACAAAAGCAATGTTCTTCCACTTGTTGTATTCACACCTGCCCATCAACTGCTAGGAGTAAGCCACATCCACCATGATTGAATTGGCCTCATTAAAATTGATCCTATACTTCATAAGTAACTTTTCTTTTGATATTCTTGTACATATATCCCTACATCTGATTTTCACTCTGCATCTGCAAAGTTGTTTGTATCCACCTAAATAAATCTGTTATTCTTCAAAGTGCCACAGGACTCCTCGCTGTTTTTACAGATACCCCTCTGAGAATTAACTTGACTTGCATAATGTGGAACTCTCTTACAGCAACCAGAGTGGAACCGTCAAGAATACAATTGTTATAATTACTTTCCTGACTGTAACCACATTTTACATTTAGTCTTCTCATCTTACTGTTGATTATTTGGGGTTTTTTGAAAGCCTAAAACTAATTTCCCATTTGTAAAAAACACATTTTGTTATGTTTCTAATGCAAAAGAAACTACCATAAGAGGCTCGATATTCATTCATTTGTGCGTACAATTTAATATATAGTCTATTAAACATCTGTATGTTTTCTGTTGGTTCCAAAAAGGTGTCCATTATTTATTTCACAGCAGCTGAATGGTTTTTTAAATTAATTTTAGAGAATTTCAGGACAATTTATAGGTTATATAAAAAAATTAAAACTAAGTCACTAGTTTGATTAATATAGCACATTTTATCACTAAATAGTAGTGATAAAATAGTAATGTTTCTCAACTATTTTTAGCAGTTACTATATGACAAGGCCAAAAAAAGATCACTATAAATAGAATAAGTGAGGTTTCTGGTAGAAATAACATTAACAATTTGGTTTCAGTATTCACCAAACTAAGTTACAAATGAGCATCTCACATAGTGAAAGCATAAGAATGTAACTGCTGAAAACATATATGTGCTTTCTCTTTAGAATAGAACGGAATGCAACAGAAGCAGACAGTTTCATAGAGAGCTGAAAGTAAACAATGCTATCTACTACTTTGGAACTAGATTACAGATGCAGTACCATCAACCACTGAAAATGAAAATGCTTAAATCAAACAAAGTAAATGATCCCAGGAAAAACCTTTAAAAATGTGAGCATACCAATACAACCATCTGACAAACATGATAAAAATGAGTATATACTCAGTACTGTACTTACTTTCCTTTTTCCCTCTCCTTTTAGAAGATCCAGATGAATGAGAAGATGCCCCAGACCAGAGTCCAGGTGAATGCTGGGACGTTAGCTCTATAGATCGGTGTTCATGGGGAGACTTCCTGCTGGGAAGCTCTTCTTGAATGCTGGAATTGCTGCTGCCACTGATACTGCCACAGAACAAAAAAACACTAGCTGAAGATTCCCAATTCCTCTATTCCATGCCACACAAGAAATCTATATGACTTTCTTGAAGAGACAGATGACGAAAATCAGGACCAATTATATAGGTTGAACCTCTCTAGTTCAACACACTCTGGTCTGGCAACATCCATGGTCCGATATAATTTTAGTTAGTTGGATGTTTGCGGCCAAGCTTTCCAAGATCTTGTAAAATTTGTTTATGGCCGCCAGTCCTGGCTCTCAGTGCTCTATGCTGTTATTTAGCTCTAATTTATGCCCAAATGTCTTCTAAGACCCCAGCAAGCAGTGGAAATGTTGGTAATGCCGCTAAGCATAAGCACTTTTTTTTGGTGTTCCATCTACTTATTTCCTTATGCCAATACAATAAAATTGTGTAAGGACACTAAAACATTATGAAGAGACCTGATACCCCTTGACTAGGCATAGGCTTGTATAAGGTTTATCAGTTCAGCCATACATTATTAAGCAGCATTGCATTTATTCACTTCAGAGGAATAAAAATAAAAAAGAGACTCACTCACTACAAGATTGACTAGGTTTATCAGGTAGTCGAGTCACTACTCAAATAATCGCTCCCACTGATACAGAGACAGCAAGGGGAGGGAGCAGGAGCTGGTGCTGGGGGGGAACCAGCTTAAAAGCACTGCCTCCGCAGGAGGCAGGGGAAGCAGACGTGCAGCGGGGGAAAATGGCTTTTTGCTGAAACACAGGAGGTCAATATTAGGGATGTTAAATAGCTGTTAGGAAGCTAATCGAATAGTCGATTTCCATCAACTACTCGATTAGTCGATAAGGGGATTCGCTGCAGCTCTGCTTTTTAAATGTAGCAAGAACCTGGTGGCTTCTACTACATTTAAAAAGCAGAGGCACAATGTCTGGGACCGCTGTCCCTGGTAGCTCTTCCTACGTTTAAAAAGCAGAGCCGCAGCAAACCGCTTTATCGGCTAATCAAGTAGTCGATGGAAATTCCATTGACTACTTGATTAGCTTCCTAACCGCTATTTAACATCCCTAATATTGACCTCCTATGTTTCAGCAAATTCTCTGGTCCAGCACCCATCAGGTTACGAAGGTGCCAGACTAAAGAGATTCAACCTGTACATTGCTGCATTACAAACCCATCTTGAGAAACAAAACGATTTTGGTATTAGAGACTGGTAGTAGTTGCAAGGATACTTAGACTTGATTGTGAGTGTACTGAATTTCAGCCCAGATATGGAATTACAAAAGATGAATATTTGCACAATTTCAGATATACTTTTTTATGGTCATTCAACTACAGATTTGGATACACGTATATATTATCCTGAAATTGACATAAATCTAAATTATTACACATGGACCTAGGATATTGATAAACTTGCAGAACTATGGACTTTTTTAATAGGGTCATGCATTTATAAAAAAAATTAAAGGGACAGACCTGCCAATGGAGGACAGGGGACCATGGGAAGACATAGGGGGCAGTTGCTCCAGGGCCTGGTGATTCAAAAAGGCCCCTGCTGCCCAGAAGTGTCAGCAGCTGGAGTCGTGGGCCTTTTAAATAGCTGCTGGAGCACTACGCGGTAGGGATGTAAAAAGTTTTTTTTAAATGAAACCGTGTAACCACTAAAAATCCTGGTGGTTACACATGCTGCTTGTTCTGCAGTGTAAAACTTAAATAAGCTTTATTCTGCAGCAGGGCCCTGCTCCCAGGGAGCCAGCATTTAACCTGCGGCAGAGGGGTTGGGAGGGGGCGCCTCGGACGGGATAGGGCAGGGAGCTGCTCCAGCCCCTACCGATTAAACAGAACTGAGAAGCCTCATCTGTTAAGCATGGGGCTTATCTGTTAACCATTTACATTTACACTACATGGCACACGGCTCTTGGAGTTCGCTAGATGCTGGGGATAAGGCAGCTTAGCATGTTCAGCACTGGCTGCCCCAGCCCTGCCCCTTCCACGTGTGTCTCTGCCCCTTCAAGGAGCACAGAGTCAGCCCTCCCCAAACACTTTGCCTAGAAGCCCAGCAAGTCTGTCAGCCCCACTGAAGTTACATGAAAGGTGGTAAATTGTATTAAAAGGTAAATTATAATAATCCATTTTCTTTGTTAAAACATTATTACAGCTAGCCACATACCATGAAATATGTGCTTTGTCCTCCACTTATTTAGGTCTAGACAAAAACTGTAGACAAACACTTGTAACTGCCCTCCTCACCCAACAAGTGTGAAGCAAGTTTTTAGGGTTGTTCGCTTCTTCCCTATCTCATACAAAACCCTTCAAACTTGAGCTATAAAAACGGAAAATTCAATGTAATTGAATTTTGAAAAATTCGGTAAGTAATTTGAATCAAATCATTTTAAAAATAAATTGGAATCTCAGGAATGTAATGGTCTTGAAATTCCGAGCAATTACACACCCAGAAGGTTATGTGACTTGTCTAAGCCTGCATGAGAAGTCGGCATAACCAGGATTAGGGTCTCAGGAGTACTTAATTCTCTGTTCTACACTGCTTGCCACTAGGCCATGCTGCTTGACATGTTGTATAGGCTCCCAGATACAACATGACATGTTGTATAGGCGGAATCTCAGAGTTATGAACCCTAAAGTTATAAAACTGATCGGTCAACCATACACCTAATTTGACACCGAAAGTATGCAATCAGGCAGCAGCCAAGATTTCAAAAAGTAGCAAATGCAGTACAGATACTGCATTAAATGTAAACTAAAAAATGAAGGGAAATTTTAAAAAAAGTTCTAACAAGGTAAGAAAATGTTCTGTGTTTATTTCATTTTTTAATTAGAATGTTAAGTGTCATTTTTTCCTGCATAGTAACATTTCAAAGCTGTATTAAGTCAATACTCAGTTGTAAATGTTTGAAAGAAAAATTGTTCAGAGCAACAAATGTTTCAGAGTTATGAGCAACCTCCATTCCCAACATATTCATACCTCTCGAGGTCTACTGTAAGCAATCATCTGAATTTAACGGTATCCTCTTGAGAGATATCCACACATTACTCAATGCAACAACCAATCTGCTTATAAGTACTCTCAGAAATTTAGTATAATTTTCATTCTGATTTTCTCCAAATGTTTCTACATAATTACCTAGGCTCAAGAGCAACCTTTTTGTCAGTCAAAGTTCCACTCTCCTGGGATGAAACAAAGTCATTTTCATATGAAACAACGCTCTCTGGAGGGCTCATGGCAGGAAATAAGGGGCGCAGGACTGGAGACCCTCCATTTGATCTTTCCTCAAATCCTGTGAAAAAGGGAAGGGAGGGAGAAAGACAGTTGATACTAAATGCCACATTTGCTCACATGACAGACAATGATGCTGCAGGCCTTAAATATACCCAACAATACTCAGTAAGAAAGAATGCCTTCCCTAGAGAAGCATTCTAAATGAACATGATACAATTGACATTGGAAGTCAAATACAAATGGTCAACTATATTCTGCCTCTTTTCTACACTGAAGTACAAGCCACTTAGAAAAGATTATCTGGATAACGTGATGTTTGGGAGTGGAGCCATCTGGAGAGCTAGAGGGAGTAAATTCTGTCATCTTTGAAGAATAAAAAATAAAATAAAAAAGGACACACTAACTCATGGAAAACATTCAGCATTTAATGTCTATCTTAAGGCAAAAGCCTCATAGAGGAGAATTAAGCATACTGATAAAAGGACAGAATAGCTATACATAAGAATGGAATGCAATGTCTGGCATGAAAATTCTGGAAAATATGCTCTGATGCCTTGTTGCTATTAACTATAAACTTGCTCACATAAACAAAAAAGATCCTGCCTATTGATATAAGTGCAGCACTTAATCTATTAAGACCAGAGATTGCTATAGAGATCTCAATTCATTAACTGACTGTGGTCAGCCAAACTATTTTTCAGAGCAACCACTGGAGAAGACAACTTATGAAGAGTTGAAGTTAAAAAAGAAAATATCTGCAGAAGTACAGGCAGTCCCCGAGTTATGCGGATCCGACTTATGTCGGATTCGCAGTTACGAACGGGGCTTTTCTCGCCCCGGAGGACACGGGTGGCGGGACCGGCCAGACGCGCCGCGGTCCCGCCGCCCGCGTCCTCCAGGGCGAGAAACGCTGCTCCGCGTCTCCCCAGCAGACCAGGGAGACGCGGAGTAAAGCCACGGAGGACGCGGGCAGCGGGACA